TGGCGGAGATCCCCCTGGAGGAGGACAAGTCTCCTGGTAGGGCTCCCGGGAAGAAGCCAGTAGCCTAAGGGTTTGGGGCTGAGTTTTTCTTCTTTTTCCTTTTCAGCTTGGTAGGCTTTGTAATAGGTAGGGTTCTAATGTACATATGAAGCGGTTTTAAATGAAACGACCTAATTTTGGCTTCCGACTTTTTTTTTTTTTTAATAATCAAAGCAGCATGCCGACCTCCTGGGTCGAGCATCAAATTGATCCATCAAGGCAGCGTGCCGGCCTCTCGGGTCGAGCATCTATCAAACCCTAAGTTAATAACTAAATTGTCAAGGACAACAAATTGGGGTACTATCAAACTAGCCAACTAAATTAGTAATCCGAGCTTTAATAACCGGAGCGTCGTGCCGTCCTCCTGGGCCGAACACCAGATTCTAGAGCTTCACACTACGCCGACCTCCTGGGTCGAACGTCAAATTCAAAGGCACTCAAGCTACGCGAGCATCGTGCCGACCTCCTGGGCCGAACACCAGATTTTAGGGCTTCACACTACGCCGACCTCCTAGGTCGAACGCCAAATTCTCAAAAAGACACTTCTGCTACTTATTGTCCCCGAGCCCCCCACTAGGACACTTAGCATCATTTGAGTATGCTAGTGTAGAAGTAAGTAGCGTGACAATTTGAGGTAAACGGTATTGAAAGAACTTCGTAATAAAGGTCCAAAGTCGAATATTTATTTAATTTGACTCGAAGGTGGATTCCAGAGAATGGATAATAGGACATCATGAACCAACCTAACCTACGAACAATCGCAAGTTTGAGAAGTGCCAAGTCCGAGGTACCTCTACTCCATCTAACTTGACAAGCCTGCAGTACCCAGCTCGGTTCGCCTCTAGAACTTTGTACGGCCCCTCCCAGTTCGGATCAAGTTTGTTGGAGCTATGAGCTCGGCTGACCGAGTTCTTCCTTAGGACGAGGTCTCCCGACTGGTACTGCGTATTCCTCACCCTCGCGTTATGATAGCGGGCAAGTTGACTTTTATACTTAGCCATCCGTATCGCCGCTTCCTCGCGTTTAGTTTCTAGCATGTCAAAGTTACACCTCAATTCTTCTTCATTGACTGCCGCGACGAAGCTCTGCGTCCGAGGCGATGGGAGGCCGATCTCTGCTGGTACCACTGCTTCTGCCCCATAAGTCAGGGAAAAAGGGGTCTCATGAGTGGCCGTTCTCGGCGTAGTCCGGTAGGCCCAGAGGGCACTAGGTAGTTCCTCTAGCCAGTTAGACTGGGCCAACTCCAACCTAGTCTTCAGCCCTTGTAGGATGGTTCGATTGACGTTCTCCACTTGGCCGTTGGCCTGGGGATGACCGACCGAAGTGAAGTGTTGGCTGATTCCGAGCTCCGCACACCAGCTCCTGAAGGGAATTTCAGCGAACTGTCGCCCGTTGTCAGATATCAGAACGTGCGGAATCCCGAAGCGGCAAACTATGTTTTTCCAGAAGAATTTCTGAACTACTTTTCCAGAGATAGTGGCCAGAGGTTCCGCTTCCATCCACTTGGTGAAGTAGTCGATGGCTACCATGAGGTATTCGTATCTCCCGGGAGCTCTGGGGAAAGGCCCCAGAAGGTCTATTCCCCACTGGGCAAAATGTCAAGGACTGTGGATGGGGACCATCTCCTGAGTTGGCTGGTGACGCAGCGGGGCATACACCTGACAAGCTCGGCATTGCTGAACTAGTGCCGCGGCGTCCCGGAACACTGAGGGCCAATAGTAGCCTAGGAGCAGGTATTTTTTGGCCAACACCCGAGATCTCACATGCGCCGCGCATAAGCCTTCGTGAACTTCTCTGAGGACATAGTCGCCCTCCTCGGAGGTTGCGCACTTTAGCCAGGGAGACAGGTACAACCTCTTATAGAGGGTCCCCCCAGCATACGCGTACTTGGTAGCCCTGAGCTGGAGTCGTCGGGCCTCGGTCTTGTCCTCGGGGAGGATACCCGAATTGAGGAAGTTTACGAGGGGAGACATCCAAGAGGCCGAGCTATTTATAACTAGGACTGGGGCCGGGTCGATGCTTTTTTGCTTGATTACCTCCACGAAAACTTCCTTATTCAGGTGGGCAAACGAGGAAAACGTCAATTTTGACAGAGCGTCCGCGCGCTTGTTCTGTGACCTTGGCACCTGCTCGATTTCGAAAACATCGAACAGGGTTATCGCCTCTCGTACCTTAGCCAAGTATCTTTTCATGATGTTCTCCTTAGCCTCGTACTCCCCGCGAACTTGGTGGACCATGAGCTGGGAGTCACTCCGGACCTTGATCGCAGTTATGCCCATCTGGTGGGCTATCCGCAATCTAGTCAATAGGGCCTCGTACTCCGCCTCATTGTTGGAGGCCGGGAAGTCAAACCTGAGCGCGTAGGTCAGCTCTTCCCCGATGGGCGATGTGAGAAGTAGGCCGGCTCCGCTCCCTTCTTTGCTCGAGACCCCGTCCACGAACAGTACCCACGGCTCCTCCGGCCGTACCTCTTCGGGCAAGGGGCTTGGCAAGCTGGTCCCTTCAACAAGGAAGTTCGCCAGAGCCTGAGCTTTGATTGCGGTGCGAGGCCGATAGCCAATGTCATGCTCGGCCAGTTTGACGGCCCATTTAGTCATTCGGCCTGAGACCTCAGGCTTTGTAAGTATCTGTCGTAAGGGCTGATCAGTCATGACAACAACGCTGTGGGTTTGGAAGTAAGGTCGGAGCTTCCGGGCGACGTGCACCAGGGCAATGACCAATTTCTCCGCCGGTGTGTACCGCGTTTCCGGTCCTTGTAAAGCACGGCTGCCATAATATATTGGCCTCTGGACCCCCCTGTCTTCCCGCACCAGGACCGCGCTAACGGCCTCGCGGCAGGCGGACAGGTATAGGAACAGGGTTTCCCCTTGCTCCGAAGCGGTCAAAGTGGGCAGCTCGGCCAAATATGCCTTCAGGTCGGTGAAGGCCTTCTGGCACTCCTCAATCCATTGAAAGTCCTTGGGCGCTTTCAAGATTCGAAAGAAGGGTAGCCCTCTCACCGCGGAACGCGAGAGGAATCTATTCAGCGCGGCCATCCTCCCCGTGAGCCGCTGGACCTCCTTTACGTTCCTCGGAGGGGCCATATCCACGATGGCCTGGAGCTTATCCGGGTTAGCCCGGATTCCCTCGCGGGAGACCAAGAACCCCAGGAACCTTCCCGACCCAACCCCGAAGGTGCACTTCTTCGGGTTCAGCCGCATCCGGCTCTCCCACAGAATGTTCAGGGTTTCTCTCAGGTCAGGAACGAGCTGTCGGTCAATTCGACTTTTGACGATCATATCGTTCACGTAGATCTCCATGCTCCTTCCGATCTGGTTTTGGAACAATTTGTTAACCAGGCGCTGGTAGGTAGCTCCAGCATTTTTTTTAGCCTAGACGGTATTGTCCGGTAGCAGTACGTTCCCTCCTCAGTGATGAAGGAAGTTTTTTTCCGGTATTCTTCAGCCATCTCTATCTGGTGGTATCCCTTGAAGGCATTCAGGAAACACAAAACGTCAAAACCCACAGTAGAGTCTACTAACCTGTCGATCCTCGGCAAAGGGAAGCAGTCTTTCGGACAAGCTTTATTGAGGTCTGTGAAGTCCATGCACATCCTCCAGAATTGGTCCTCCTTCTTTACCAGGACCGGGTTGGCTAGCTAGGTTGGGTAATATACCTCCAGGATGATCTTGGATTCCAACAGCTTGCCGACCTTCTTCTTGATCACCTCATTCTTCTCTGGGGCGAAATTCCTTTTCTTCTGCTTCACCGGCTTGACGCGGGGATCCACGTTGAAGTGGTCGATGGCCAGGTCAGTCGGAATCCCAAGCATGTCCCCTACCGTCCACGCGAAGACCCGGGAGTACTCCCTCAGCAGGGCCTTTAACCCCTCCTTCTCCTCGGAAGGCAGCAAAGCACCGATGCGGGGGACCTGGTCGGACTTGTCCTCTCTCAAGGGGAACTCCTCGATCTCGTCCCGGGTGCCCAACTGTCGGTCCTGCTCCTCCGGGATGTAGGGCTTCAAGCTGGTCGTCTGAGCGACCACCTTCTCCTGTCCCCGAAGCACGGCCAAGTAACAAGCTCGAGCCACCTCTGGATCTCCGTGTACTTCTGCTATTCCCTCCGGGGTGGGGAACTTGACGCTGAGGTGGTGCGAGGAAGGAATAGCTCGGAGGGCGTTCAAGACGGGCCGACCAATGAACATATTGTACGAGCATTGTTGTTTGACCACCACGAAATTGACGGGAATGGTCCGGCATTTGGGCGTCTGCCCTACCGTGACCATCAGGGTGATCATTCCCTCCGAGTTAATGGGTGGCCCGGTGAAGCCCACCAAGGGTGTCCAAATCGGGGTCAATTGTCCGTCTTCAAGGTCGAGCTCCTTGAACACCCGGTAAAACAGGATGTCCACCGCACTTCCTTGGTCAATGTACACTTTTTTCACCCGATAGTTATTGGTTACGACGTCTATCACGATGGCCTCGTGGTTCCCTGACGCCAGGGGAACAACATCCCTTAGTCCGAAAGTAATCTCTTCGTCCATGCACAGGCGCTTCATGGAATCGTCTCCCACAGGAGGAGGTCGCCAGTTTTTCCGAACTGCGTTGCTGTCCCCTCCCGTGGGACCCCCAGCGATGATGTTAATCACCCCCGCCAGGTTTTGAGTGTCCTGGTCGAGGGAGCGTTCCCGAGGAGTATCACGCCGCTCAGGGCGGTCGCGACGCTGGCCCTCTCTCCTGTCTCCGCGGTAGGTGCGCCCTGCCTCCTGACCTGGTCGGCCTTGCCGTACAAACCGTCCCAGGAAGCGGCGCTGGATCAGATCCTCGATCTCCCTCCGCAGGGCCCAGCACCCCTCCGTGTCGTGCCTAACGTCACGATGGAAGGCACAGTACCAGTCCTGATTTCTCTTGTTCTGCGGTGTCCCCATCTTAGGTAGCCGTTCCCCTAGACCCTCCGCCTCCATAACGGCCAGGATCTGGGCCCTAAGTCGAGTCTGGGAAGTGTACCCTTTTTTCCGGAGGCGGTGGTTGAGCGGGGGCTTTCTCCTTTGAGAGTCGGTCAAAAACCTTCTTCTTGGCCGGGTCGGCCTTGTTCTCGGGAGGGTTTCCCCGTCCCCTACGATCTCCGAACTCCCGATCCGACTCGCTCTTCAGGCGTGCCGCCTCCTCTGCGTTAGCAGCGGCGTGCGCCCTGGTCAAGAACTCCTCCAGATCTCCGGGAGGTTTCTCGGCCAGTTTGTAGAAGAGCTCCTCTGCCCAGAGCCCGTTCATGAAGGCGGCCATTACCACCTTTTCATCCTTGTCCCTGATCTGCAGGCTCTCCGTGTTGAAGCGGGCCATGAAATTCCTCAGGGACTCATCTGGCTTCTGCCTGATTGCCATCAGATGAGCCGCGTTTTTCGAGTAAGTTTTCGAAGAGACGAACTGGGCGACGAACTGCCTGACCAGTTCGGGAAAATTTCGGATGGATCCTGGTGCCAGACCCTTGAACCAGAGTCGGGCCCTCCCCTTCAGGAACATGGGGAAGGTCTTGCAACGAATCTCATCCGCAGCTGTTTGTAGACGCATGTGAGTAAGGAAAACCGAGAGGTGGTCCTCCGGGTCGGTCGAGGCGTCGTATAACTCGATGTTCGGGATCTTGAATTTTCGGGGTAGCGGGTAGTCCTCTATCCCCCGGGTAAACGGCGAGACTGTGTAATTGTTCTCGTACAATTGCGGTCGCAAAATCTGCTCAAGTTCGTCCCGGACAGGTTTCCACTGGGGGGGATTACGCGGTCGGCTCCTGACGGATCGGTCGGGAGAGCGTTTAGACTCATTCCGCGCAGGCTTCCAGAGGGAGAGGTTTCTCGGTCAGCCCCCAACGGACCGGTCACGGGAACATCTCTCGCTGTCCCCGACCACCGAGGCCCGTGGCCGGAGGGGGGTCCGTGGCCGTTTCCTTCTGGGGGGTTGGTCCCGTGACTCATCCTCTGAGGGAATGGGAAGCGATTCCTTCTGCTTCTCCTTCGCCTTGGAAGTTTGTGCGCCCCCGGTTTCACCCCCCCTCCTTCGCCTGTCGAACCATGTCTTCCAACATGGGGAGGTTCTCCGTCACGAACTGGAGGATCTGCTGCCTCCGTTCCCCTGAAAGGGCTGAGCCCCCAGCGTCCCGAGCATCCTCGGTCTCCTTTCGCTGGGACCCCTCGCTGGCTCCAGGATCGGCGTTCTCGATGGTTCGCTTGGAGCGCGTTCTCGCCATCAACACAACTATACTTACCTCTGTTCCCACAGACGGCGCCAACTGAAGAAGCACTGAGCTTCCCTGGACCGAGCTGACCTCCTGGGCTCAGCGTGCTGATGAGGAGTGCACGTCCAAACCCTCCAAAGCAAGCAAGAAAAGGTCTATAGGGTGGCTATCAGGGGAGCCCCGAGGTTGTCCCCGGAGGCACTCCGACGGTCAAGTTAGTTTTTCGGTAAGTGAAGTTTACGGGAAGTGAAACAATAGCGCGTACTTGGCTAATAGTGAGCGTATCTTGTACCATGTTACCATTTATACTTGCTTGTGAGTCCGACCTCCGTACGTTTCGAGACCTACCCAAAATAGTCCCAATCCCGCACTGAGGGATCCTCCCCGTCCTCTATGGGATTGTTCTCCGGAACCCTCCGGAGCCCTAGCGGGCGGTGTGCCCCAGGATGGCTCCCATGGGCATGAAGTCCAAGCCCAACTCTGGCCTTCCTGGGCTGCCACGTGTCTCGACTCAGGACGGGGCCTCTGCACTACCAAAAGCAAAATAAGGATGTTAATTCAAAGGTAATTTTCACTGCAAATCTTCAGCACAATTTAGATTTGGAAGCATATTTGACACAAGAAAAAATGAATTTATAAATTAATTAGAAATGTTTAATGATTTTAAACTCTACTATTACTATAATTTTTGTGCTATCACAGTTTGACCACCCCCCAACCAACCAACCCCTAGAGTCCTGACTCTGCCACTATTGAAGACAAGGGTAACACTACAAGAGTTTGAGATGTATTACTATTTGCTTCAGAATGCAAGACTTGGCTACCAGGATAATTCGTGATCTATACTCTGCTCATCTCATGTGTAATCCTTCTTGTTATCCTTATCTGGACATTGTCAAAAGTGCCTCACGAAATCCTGGAAAATTTTCATGTTATTTAATCCAGGGTCATGTTCAAATGCAAATCCAATTTCGATCACCTAACCACTGCTGACATTTTCAACTATCAAGTGAGCTGGACATTAATTTTCTTTCAACATCATATTCAAGGTGATGTTGAAGCCATGCTCTGTGCTTGTTAGGCAAGAACTGATTACTAGTCTTTAGCAAAATTAGAAAAAGGAAATAAAAAACTATGCTAATTCCAGCCAAGAAAAGAAAAGGGAAAAAGCCCAGATTATTTCAATAGAACAAAAACTTCTCAAAAAGATGCATTCCGCAAATGTCAGAAAAGATTCCCAATTTTTTTAGAACAACACTGTATTTTGTTAATGGAAATAAAAATTAAGATTTATTAGAAGTCGGGAAGAGCTCAATAGTGGACAAACTGCCTAGTCGGGCAATGAACAAATAAAGCATGGACACGACAAACTGATTTCTGCCTTCAGATTAAAGTATTAGCCCAAAAAAAATTGAAAATCCAAGAAATAGAAAAGAGTAGATGATACTAAAACTCACTTGTTTTTTATAGAAAGGATGTTTACAAAAATGTTACAACACTTTGACCTCAGACATAACTCTCTCACTCTTGGGAGAAAAAGAAAATCTCTCCATACAACTCTTGTTGCAGAAGAGTTCACAATTTCATCTTGTAATGCCACTTGACACGTACTCTCTCTCTGCTCTTTTCAAGAATTTCAGCTTCAGACTTGAAGGACATTTGGGAGGGCCTAAAGGATTGGTGAAAAAAGTGGGCACATTTGTGGTCCAATTTACTGTTAGCTTTGGTCATTTGTTGGATTAACAGAAAAAGCATGTGAAATAGGGAAAGAAGGCAGAATCAAGAAACGAAGAAGTAAGATACAAATAGAGGAAAATTGGCTGCACTTCTGCTATATATTCATTAAAAGGGTTCAAATCATGTAAATTGATGTGACAAAATACGATGACCGTACATCTTCAGCTGCCGAGTTCGGCACAGGCAACTGTGGCCCAAAACGATTTTGTGCTACAAATCAATTCAGGTAAAAAGACCGGTTCATAGTCGGATCGATCAAATCGACCGGTCCAGTCGCGATCTAACAACACTGTGGACGGCAGTGGTGTCGTGCAAAGGAAAAAGACGAATAAAATGACATAAAACAATACAAAAAAATAAAAAATATAATATAAAAAAGAAAATTTTATAATTTCTTAAAAATCATTGCTATAAAGTTACCAAAATACTCGTTGGGTTTTCATCAGAACCCATTACTATTACCCAGTTTATTGTACCCATAGTAATAGTGATTATAGAATTCGAACCAAATAGCTCTTTAATTTGTTGTTGTTCAGTTTTTTTTTTCTTTTTCTTTGCCCTTTTTTTTAATTGATTAGGAATATGCATAGAATAAATTACATTTCACCCTTGTTAGCATGTTTAACATCATAATCTCCTATAGCAATAAAATTGCCCCATGTGTTTCAATGTAAAGTATCATGATTAAGTTTAACATTTATCGAAATGAAAAACATTATTTTTATATCAAAACTTTAAAAAAAAAGGAAAAAAGCCAACCTTTTCATGACTAGATGAAAAAATTAACCCTTAAATCATTTAATGAAAAAGAAAAAGAAAAAAACAAAAAAGGATTACTACTCACATTAAGCAAAAAAGTCAAGCTAGTCATGACTAGATGGAAAAAATTAACCCTTAATTATCTAACCGAGAAAAACGACAAAAAGAAATGAATCAAAACGGATTACTACTCCACATAAGCAAGAGTTAATTGCAATTAATCTAGCAAAATTGAACAAGCAAAAAAAGGTTATTAAAGTAAAAAATTCAACCGTCCAAACTACAAGCAATATCATGCACAATTGCAAAAAAGAAGATAGGAATGTTACAAATGTTGTGATGCCACTAAAATTTTTAAATCTTTCAATATCATTTCTCTTTATCTCGATACTTTCACGAGTATTTAACATATACTAAGCAATAGAAGCGACATTGAGGTCGACAATCAATCAATAAATATAATAAGCGATACAAGCAACATTGAGGTCCACGATCACTCAATAGATTAATTAGCACTAAAATTATGATAGGTCCCACCCAATTAGCACTAATTAACAATCATGCAACAAACTTAAAGATTTGAAAACCTCAAAGCGACCACAAAACGACTCATGTTTCTGCCTTGGTGGATGCGACAAATGTTTGTTGAGAAAAGCACCACTACCTGGTGTGAAATATGGAGAGCATCTTCGTCATAAAACCTTTGTTTAATTGGGAAAAACCAAAGGCATCATTGTTGTGGACAAGAAAGTGAAGGCCTGCTACTGTGAACCTTCTCGTTTCGGATATTCATTGACTCTCACAACTCTGATTGTATCACAGTATACTTTTCAAAGAAATCCCAGGAAAAAATTTGCATTTTTTTGATGAATTAGCTGAGTTTTAAGTTTTAACTATTGGAGTGGAGTAAAAGGCGGTTGTTAGGAGGTGGCGAAGCTGGTGCCGGTCGCCGGAGCTTCTGCAATCGATTTCTTCAAATAGAGCTGAGTTCGGTGCTCATCAACAGCAGGTATTTTTAAATTCAAGGAAATTGAAAAAGAAAAAAAAAAGAATAAGTTGATTAATTGTTCCATTTCCTCGGCTATTTATATGTTCTATAAGTTGGAAGGAAAAATATAAACAAGATAATGAAAGATGTGGAGAACAAGGGAAACATGATTGGCTTTTTATTTATTTGTCAGTTTCTGAAATATTTTTGACAATGGGAAAAAGAAAAATAGAAAAAGAATGAAAACATCTGTTCCTAATTGATTGCTGGATAGATGATTCTTTATTTTTCTTTGGAATCCATTTTGACCTTTTTTTTTTAACTAAAAACATTTGTTGCTCCACAAAGGCTAATATGCTGGGAACTCTTTCTTTTGGGTCTGGTTAATTAGAGAGCCAACCTTTTTTCTTTTCCTTTTTTGGTAAGCTCTGGGTTAATTAGAGAGCCAACCTTAGCAATTTCCACTTTCAACTCTTCTTAAAAGGGAAATTATTTCAATGAAATTTTATTGCTGTAATAGAACGTAGAAGTCCTCCAAAAAAACCAATGTATTGCTCCAAATCAAATTCTTTAAGCTCTAGTTCTGTTCTAGAAAGTCAACCTTAGGTAATTACCAAATTGAGCTCTTCCTAGAGGCCAACACGTAGAAGCTCAATTTCGTAATTATGCCTTGCCAGTGCGAGACTCCGAGAACCACATCACTTTGTGTAATTGGAGAGAGAGATCAATTCCTCCAAACGGTAACAATATTGGATTCTTTTACTAAATGCTCATAATGTCAATTTGGCTTTTCTTTTGCGGAATGCTTTTAATTTCATCTCCAAGAACCTACAAAGGATTAGTTCATTACTTCATTTGCTATATTACATTGTTTTTTTTTTTTTGATAAAATAGAAGACAATATTATTAATAAACTAACTCGAAATCATTCAACACAATTTAGTTGACAAAGTAATGTGCGCTAATGGTAGAAAATGCATAAAACACATTATAGATATATTTGATCTAAAAAATCATTAGAATTAACAAAGTTAAAAAAGATAAAAATTACATTGTGAATCACAAGTCATCGGATCTGACTAATTGCATGAGCTGCTCTATAGATATCTACGCATGACTATTTCCTCAAATCTGCTATCAGACTAGTTGAAATTTAAAATTGATGTTGAGACTTAATGAGAAGATCCAAAAAATTTTAGATATAATGCTGAGATCTGACCAAAAGACACAAGAAATTTTAGATCTTACATGTAGATCTAAAAAAATTCACTGAGGAACAAAAAACTAAACAAAACTATCATTAGGATGGTTTAAAAGAGAAGAAGCTCTTACTAGTAAAATGTTAGGAAAGACAAAACTTTCACTAGAATATCCTATGAGAGAACTTATTAAACATAAAATAGAAATAGAGGATAAGGAAGGAAGACCTTGGTTTGAGGCCAGGATCTCCTACAAAGGAAGGACGGTGAAGAGAATTTGGGAGATGTTATGTTTCATTACTTCTCAATTTTGTATACATTACATTGTT